CCGCGGCCCAGCGCGCAGGCCAGGCCGCGACCCAGTGCGCTCCAGCGTGACTGACGGCCCAAGTTCGGGATTTGATTCCGAACGGGCCCGAAGGTTTCTGAAACCGTCGTAAAGCGTGCCGATGGGCCCGGAAAAGTTCCGGATCCCAAGGAAGGTGAAATCCAACCCGGAGACAAAGAATGAAGCCGAAGAATAAATAATTCAAGAATCGAAGACCCGTTGATGTAACGGAAGAATATAATTATTGTAATTATTTATTTATTCGATTCGATTGAGTTGTAATTTATTTTTCCATGGGACCCGGTCAAATCCATCTCAATAGCTGATTGCATATATTTATATTTTATGTTGATAATTATATATTATATGTCCATGCATATAACATGCCATATAGATATAATGTGCCTACTCATATGTTTTATAACATGCCATGCATATACGCGCATTTGTTATTGTTTATTTTATTTATTATAAAAGTGTTTTAGAAAAATAAAATAAAATAAGAACCATGCGCTAAAATCGATTTAATATGATTAAATTGATTTAAGTTGCAAAATTGATTTGCAAAATAATGTTACATGTGAAATTGAATTTAAAAGTTAAATTTTGGAATTCCACATATCCGAAAAATGAATTGTTTATTTTTCGATTTGAAAATTATGAGATGTTTTTCAAACAAAATACATATTTACAAAATAATGAGTGGGAGAAGGTTGTATGATAATGCGACCCACTGGTCTCCAGCGTTAGTTCAACACCGTGAGATTCGAAAGGGGCTTCGCGGCGGCACCGATTCTGCACTCCCTACGGAAAGTGTTCTTTCGGATCAATAACAAGGTTGACTTCCTAGTGATAGGATTCAAGGATGTATTTCCAGTTTGACCTACCCTACGGCGGCACTCCGGAGTTAAGTCTGTAGAATCTGAAATGATGGGTTACACTCATGAAAATGTAATCAATTTGTTGATTATATTTTTTTGACCAAAAAAATAACGGTAGTTGATAAATATGAAAAAATGAGATTTTTTGATTATATTTATCAATTGAGAATGTCTCGGTTCAATTTGTGATATTTTAACCTACCCTACGGCGGCACTATATTCGTGATAAATTGGATTATCGTTGGCACCCAAAATTAAAACATGATTTATGTATTTTTCATGTGCATCATGCATCATATTTAATTGTGCCTAAATTCACATGTCCTTGATATTCATGCACATAAATTGATTAGATGAATATTTTATTTATTTCCAGCAGTATGTCGAATCCCATTATCACACTACTTGCGACTGAAAAATTAGACGGTGATAACTATGCTAAGTGGAAAAGTAACATGAACATACTATTGGTCTACGAAGACTACAAATTTGTCCTAGTTGAGGAATGTCCTCCTAAACTCGCGGCTAATGCATCCAAAACCGCAAGGGAGCCTTATGATCGCTGGATCAAGGCCAACAACAAAGCAAAGTGCTTTATGCTGGCCAGTATGAGCGATGTGCTTCGCAAGAAGCATGAGGAG